GATCCTATGTTGATCATATATGGCGTGACGATTTTCCATCATACCCGGATCAGAAAGCCTGATTTATTTCTGATCAATCTTTAGGCAATTCTGATCCGCATCGGATCAAATCCACTAACTAATTTCCAGTCGGGTTATTAACTACTGTATAAATCTGTTATAAATGTCATACTTTCTCTTTTCAAATTCAATTTACATATTGGTTTTGAAAATAGACCGTCTCTGCAACTTCCTAGTTCTTCAGACATGCTACGGTTAGTAAACACTTCAAAATTCCACAAATCATTTTGAACGTTGAAGGAGGCAGTGCTTTATGCTCACTCCTCAGCCATTGGTTAACTTCTCATCAAGGCGTGGCAACCTATAAGTAAACTATTTCTCTAACTTAAGCTACTTCCCAAAATTTTTCATTAAAGTCCCTCTAAAACAAAAGCACTCGACCTAATACCCCAGAGGCAGTCAGACAGTCGAACCCGGTCGCTCCTGTTACATACGGAGAAGAAAAGAAAACAAAAAAAAAATAAGACGAGATAAATCTTCCGATGCGACACACACGTGTTACACATAACAAGGACGGGAATACATTTCAAAACGTGGAGAATATGTTTGGGCGTACGGTTTCGGAAGTGCTAGTTTGATCAAAGACTGCCGTGCGGGTCAAGTGATTCGGTGACAATATGACTTCAAAACAATCGACAGACATGCAGTGCCGTTAAATCATTCATTGAACACGTGAAATTAATAATTAGGTAGTTAAACACACTTACAATTTAGAAATCAAGTCCGAATCATTACATATACCAAAAAATTGAACCAAAGACACCAAAAATGCAAGCAAATTACCCTCAAACGTACAATATTCATCAGCAAACCACTCAAGCAAACCATTATTCTTACGTGTTAAAACAAAGTGACAACATTAAAATGTCGGACAGATTTCTTAACAACTTTAACAATATTTCATTGAGACATTTCACCGACAAAAATTTACACCAGATTAAATCCAAATTTAAAAATACCATTTCACCAAAGTATCAACCGTCACGTTATCATGCGAACGGTGCAGTTGCTAATGCAAAATACAACCAAGACGGACCCTATAAGTTCGAAAGTGAAATAGGTCATTTCAGCAACGCTCATAAGAATGTTGAAAATCGTATGATGAATCAATCATCCCCCAGTTCGTCATCCAGCGCAAACCTTATCGATTTAATCGGAGAAGAAAAGTTCGACATTATTGGTGACAATAATTACAATAATAACACATTTCAGAACTGTAAAATGTATTCAAGGTCAGACAGTGCGGACGGTAATGTTAGTGATTTGAATGACGTCGGCAGGAAGTTTGTTGGGAATTCCGAAAGGCGTGAAAATAATTTGGAAGAAAAGCCTGTCGGTGGACTACGGAGGACAACTGAAGAAGAAAACAAATCGAAGTTTAAAGACACTGGTTATGTAAGTGGTGGTAGTTCGTTGGAAAGTGAAGACGAAAAGGAACTGAATCACATTTTAGAACCACAGCACAGTGGCTGTGGATCAAACGGACCAAGAAAGTGCTTAGCATGGGCTTGTAAAGCTTGTAAAAAGAAAACTGTGACCATCGACAGAAGAAAAGCTGCAACTCTAAGGGAAAGAAGGAGATTAAGAAAGGTAAATACTTAATCATTCCGATTGAATGTTTATTTATAGCTTTATAGGTGACAACAATATTATATATATATGTGTTGAATTCATTGTTATTTGACCGCTTTTGGATACAGCGGTTTATTGCCCTAGCCCATGCTCTGCTTGGGTTGTAAATACCATAAGTAACCATTTCAATACTCACCCTTAATTAATATTCAAACATTAACAAATAGCCTTGAAACGTTACTTCTGTGAAACCCAAGCAGGTACCGTTACCACCCCCTTGGAGTGAAAATAGTAGTAGGGAAACGAGAAACTTTAAATATGGAAGATAACATTGCACTAAGAACAGTCATAACAATCTGTCAACGTAATCAATTTATCATCAAATCACATAACAAATCACAAATATTTGATCAACATAAACATAATCATTATCATTATTATTAATTTTAATTATTAACTAGTTTTAGTGAAGTTATTTATTAATAAACATAAAAATACAGTTCGAGTTTTATTTCGAACAAAAGAAGTGGCACGGCAGTGCAAAAACGTAAAAAACATTGGTCCTTCGAGCCGGATACAATTTGTGTATCAGTGTATCAACATCATCAAAAACCAGAAAACGTATCATCAAACCGCATCGTATCACATCATCACCAGGGATATAACTGCATTCCGATCACAACATCAGGACACCTGGTCCCATCTTTCAATCTGCATCAAGGCTGTTTCCAAGTAAGTGCGACTCCTTTTACTCCTTTATCATATCCTTAGAATTTACCGAATTAATTTGTGTTAGCAATGTCTGAATTAAACGAATTAGTCACACAAAGAGCCAAACTAAAATCGCGTCTTACTCGCTTCAAAAATGCGTTTGACATCCTGTCTAAAAAGGATATCATAACAGAAATTGATATTACCGAAATTAAAGATCGTTTACCAAAACTAGAGTCAGCTTTCGACGAATACGAAACGATTCATGACCAAATTATACAGCTTTCTGACGACCCTAGTCANCTGTCAAACCTACACTAGCAAGGAGATCGGGCTGAAACTATAGCTACAAGCTATCCAAGGATGGTACTATAGAATGTCACCTCAAGGTAGGCCTAGTGGCGTCATCTCTTGGTTAGGCCGGAAACTTATCAATCCACCCTCGTATATTACATTTCTGTATCTAACGTATCCTTAAACTGCTCCTAATGAATATTAATTTAGAAATTCAGAAATTGCGGCGCGGTGGAAAAGAAAAGGTTAGAAGCATTCGGAAGGTGGTGTTACAGGCGAATGATGAGGATATCGTGGATAAAGAATATATTTCTGTATCTAACGTTTCCTTAAACTGCTCCTAATGAATATTAATTTAGAAATTCAGAAATTGCGGCGCGGTGGAAAAGAAAAGGTTAGAAGCGTTCGGAAGGTGGTGTTACAGGCGAATGATGAGGATATCGTGGATAGAGAAGGTTAGAAATGAATAGGTATTAGAAAGAGTAAGAGAACAGAGGACTCTATGGAAGTCAATAAAAAATACGCGAGACAGGATAGGAGGACATCTTCTCAGGCATGAAGGTCTAGTCAGAGACATATTAGAGGTAGAAACAGGAGTTAAGATGGGTAGAGGTAGACCTAGATTAGATTATTGTTCGCAAATAGTTAAGGATGTGGGTTGTTCTAGTTTTGGGGAAATGCGAAGACTACCTCATGATAGGAAAGGGTGGAGGTGCATGTCCAACCAGTCTTAGGACTGACAACCTTATGATGATGATGAATGAATAAATATATACGAGGGTGGATTGATAAGTTTCCGGCCTGACCAAGAAAAACAAGGTTTTTAAAATTTTTTTTTTTTTATTTCTCAACATAATCTCCTCCAAGGCTGATACATTTCTCATAGCGGTGTTCCAGTCTATTAATGCCATCTCTATAGACTGATTCGTCAAGCTCCTCAAAATAACCATTTACAGCTTCGATTACTTCTTCATTGTCCGCAAATCTCT